GTAAATACATCTAGAAACTCATTAACTACCGGAATAGACTAAAGAGTCGGTGGTTCGGCATCTATATCATGAATGTGAACAAAATGATAAATACAACCCTTGATAATCATCCTCCTTACCTTAAGATAGGAAAAAAACCTACCTTTCGGTGTTACTGTATCGCCTTTCCATTCCAGAACTGCCTCTCCTGAAAAGTGGAATCTAACAATCTTTGTTCGGCATTCAACATTAGCACCATAAAACGCTAACCAGTCCATACCCATAATGACGTCGAAATCGACCATCTCTAACTCTACGAGATCTACAAAGGTCTGACGATCGATAATTTCTACCGTGCTACCTCGATAGACTCTCCTGGCAACAATAGACTCACCAACTGGTGTAGATACAATAAAGGGTCGATCTAATGACTCTGATACTATACATAACCTTCCCACAATAAATGGAGTAACATAAGACAAAGTAGATCCAGGATCTATCAAAGCATAAACACAATGGGAGCAAACAATCAATGTACATGTCACAACATCTGGTAATGACTCTGAGTCTTATCGGTTGTTTAATGAATATGTACCGTTCTGTCCACTACCAGAACTAGATGCTCCCTCTTTGCCTCCACCTCTACCTCTACGTGTTGAATTCTGGGGTCCACGCCCTGTAGACTGTGCTGATGAGAAGGAACTTACTGCTGACCTGGTCGACTGACCTATACCACCCTGACCTATGGTAAGGAAGTTTCTCCACCCATGCCCCTCCTGTCCACAATAATAACAACTTGTGGAACCCTGTCTGCACCTCTCAAAATGCATCATACTGCCTGTAGCGCAACATGGCGAGGATGTTCTAGCCTGGCCCAAACACTTCTCCTGCTGCTAGCCTGATGCTCGTGAACCCTCACTTGGGCCTGACTATTCTTGACAATCAAATTTACTACCCTAGAACTGCTATGGTGGAGATCTAGGTGGCCTAATAGAATATCGGGGTATGGGACCACCTTGAAAATCTCCATGCGAACCAGCGGGCCTAGCCCTCTTATGTCTCTCTCTCTCGACCCTCTCACTCGTATATTGTAGATATTAGCGATCCTCTATGCCCTGTGCAAAGTCCTGAATCCGTGAGATATCTATATTATCATTTAGCGCAGCGGAAGAACAAGCCTCGATATAGTCTGAGTCAAGTCCTCCCACAAATGTACGCACATTTATCAACAAATGCTTGTGCATATTTATCTAGCCAATGAATCAAATCTCAGCCCGTACTCTCGGACACTCATGCCACCCTGTCGGAGGTTTAGAAACTGGTCCACCTAGCCATCCCTAATCTCTCGAGGCAAATAGTGATCTATGAAAGCTTCTGTAAGGATATCCCAAATGTGTAGAGATGTATCTTTTCCCCTAGAACTCTCTTAAATTTCATACCACAATACTGCAACATCACACAAAAGAAATGCTGCTAACTCAACTGACTCAGTCGCGGAGGCATGCATGACTCTGAAGATCCTATGAAGCTGATCAACAAAGTGTTGGGGGTCTTCTCTTCGATTTGTCCCTATAAACTGTGGAGGATTCAAGGCAAGAAATTCACGAACTATCGAACTTTTGGGCCCTTTAGAAGGTTCGACAACATCTGGCATAACTGTTTGGCACTGTGCAACTACTAACTATCCTAACATATATACCACACTCTTGAAATCATGATTAGATGGAATAGGAAGAACTAGAGGTGGTACTACTGGAGAAGCTGGAAGTCCTGTAGCCCTCGGAGGCTCCTAAAGATGTGGAGAAGCTATAGGGCGCTGAGAAGATGTCTGCCCCTGGGTCTCACAATGAGCTACCTCCACATGTGGTACCTTGCCAGTACCCTCGCTTGCAGTTCTATCTAGCCCCTGGCTAGTTGTGGTATGTCTAGTGTCAGTCATATTTATATGCATATAAGTATCAATTATAAGCCAGAAACCTCAACCCTTAAGACACCACTCTATAGCACGAGGTGAGCAAAAGAAGAATAGTCATTCTAACATGCCCGGTAGCTTCTTGCTTATCGGATGTGGTGCACAACACATTTATAAACAAGACTCTACTCGACATGGCTTGCAGACTCCCAAGGATACAACGTTGCTCTGATACCAAGTGTGTCACGCCACAAACTCGAGGGGCCCAATTGTCTCCTAATGCCAAAACTTAGGCCCGAGCCGACCCTACTGAACCATTTGCTACTAGCGCATGGCAGCCACACGCAATCAAGAAACAAACAAGTTTATCTCGGCTTAAAACTAAGCCCTCGGCTGGCAAGGCCCCTGTCAACTGATCTATAAAAGAAACAGCTACTCCCAGGAGATCATATAAATAAATAGCCAACTAGCACAGAAGTCCTGATTGTGACGTCGAGGCCACCATGATATCTATACCAAAACTAAAAGCAAGTATATATTAATACAATACATCAAACGGCTCATAAGTTTCAGAAAACTAACAACATAGGCCAATATGACCATAACGTAGCTATACACCCCACACACTAGTCTGCAAGCCTCTAAGAGTAGTAAATATTAGCGAGACAGGGCCCCAGCCTACCCATAAAGATATATACAACAAAAGATAACAAACCTCCTAACTCTGGCAGCTTCGGAGGAAAGGGGCTAGCCAATCGAATAAAAGTCAATCATGCTGCTGAGGAGGTCTACTCGGTCATCTGTCAGGACCTGCATGCATGAATGCAGCGCCCCCAAGGCAATGGGGCGTCAATACAAAATAATGTACAGAGTATGAAAGGCAATAGACTATGATGAGGTATCCTGATATACTGGAATAATCTGATAAATAAATCAAGGATAAGATAAGTGTACTGACCTACTCCTAAATCTAAACTTATCAAGAATAATAAAACAGCAACCTAACCAAGCCCCCATAAGCTCGGCAGGTACAAACAGCACACAAAACCACCTACTCAGGCCCCCATAAGCCCGGAAGGTGCCATTCAGCCTATATACCCCTATCAGTAGTCCCCCTAGCCCCGTAGGTAGTCACATGCCCTCTTAGGCATTAATATAGCCCCGTAGGCAGAACATAGCTCTCTTAGGCATCAACATAGCTTATAGACAACTCATAGCCCTCTTAGGCAACAACATGGCCCTGTAGGAAGCACATATCCTTCTTAGGCGGCAATATAGACTTGTAGGCAACTCATAGCCCTTTTAGGCATCCATATAGCCATGTAGGCAGAACATAGCCCTTCTAGGCATAGATCACATTCCTGCAGCTAACCACAATATCCCCAAGGGCAACAATAACAATCCAATCACTAAAAGCGAGCACTTTAGTTATAAGAAACCTATACAAATATCCTCTAAGTCGTGTCCAACATAGGGACGCTACTAACTGAATAAGAATCTCGACAAGGGAGGATTATATCAATTCAAGCAGCCAACAATCAACAATCACGGCTACAAGTATATCAAGGATAACAACTGAAATACATTGCTTCTAAGCTTTAAGGAACATGTTGTAAGTAGGGAATAGCCTTAATATACCTTTTTCGCTGAATTCACGTGTCCTAATAACTTTAATCACAACCCCCCTTGATACTACAACAAGGCAGGATCATAATCCACACAAAATAATAGAAGATACAACAAAAATCCGATAAAAGATATGTATTTCCGTCGCAAATTTTTATTTGTGACTTACCAAAGCTAGAGTTGATGAAAGAAGGGTCTTACCTTGATTATAAGTTTGTAATACACCTCAAAACTTTAAAATATGCCCAAACCCCTGCTGTCCACACACCAAAGTACGATCAAAGTTTCTAACACACCTCAAAACTTTAAAATATGCCCAAATCCCTGCTGTCCACACAACAAAGTATGGTATGCTAGGAAATTGATAAAACAAATTATACCATGTTGACGAGCTCAACACGTAGAACAACTTTTGTCAAGGACTTAAGTCATGAAAATCAGTAACTTGGCTTGTCCTAGAAGTGGGCTTTTTAGGTTTTGTGAGTTTTCTGGTTCTTCAGTAAGGTAAATGAAGGGAAAATGAAGAAAAGTCAAAGAAGATGATATATATAAAGCTACACCGACCTAGGAGACCCACCTCACCTGCCTACTCGCGCAGTCTTGCAAAAATGCAAAACTCTCTCCATTCTGAAGTCGTATGAACGAACTGGTTGATGCATTGGAAGCTAGACTCGTAGACCTTCGATTTCATAGGTCGCAAGGACCATAACTCTTAATATATTGGGAGAAAACGTCCAAGACATTTGACCCAAATTTCAGACAAATCTTTAAAAAGGAATTTACGGTAACTTTGGCCAACTTTTATTTTGCCACTTACCAAACTTCAAATCTTGAGATACCACACTTGAACACTTAAAATATCACATAAGAAATCATTCTTAATTTATCACCCTCCTAGTCTTTCCACGAAGATACGAATCAATTTATACGTTTCGAAAAGTCGGGGTGTTACTGTATGATTGTGTCGTTATCTTGTTTTGTTCTAATGATTTAGTAATCTTATTTTATCCTTTATCCTACTTTTCGTTTTCACTAACTTTACCCCATATATTTTTCTTTATAATATTGTAAGTATATTATTCTAATCATTAAAGTGTAACACTGTGATAATTTTAAACTTGAACTATATAATTTGAAAATGGATTTTCTTTAAAGCGGATACCGAATATAGTATAAGAAAAAACATGTACTCATAATGAGTAATAATTATCTCCACCATCAATTATAGATCTCGAGTTTAGAAATGTCTTTGAATTCAATTTTAAATAGGATACTAAATAAAAAAGTGGGTCAACCCACTTCCTAAAAAGTTCCCGACTTTGTCACTGATTTAAACGTACCAAGTCTTGAAGTACCAAAATTGGGTCAAACCACTTGCTAAAAAGTTGTTAGAGGTTTTATTGAAGGGTTAGAACCTCTCTTGATGGGAACTATGAATATCAACATGAACTATTATCCATTATGCCCAAATCCAAGTATCACCATGGGGGATCGCCGACACTGCGACGGGTCCTGCATCACTTTGCTCTTCCAAGACGACACGGGAGGCCTATATGTCCGAGGGACTAAAGGAGATAATTGGATCCATGTAAATCCAATCAAAGGCGCCTTAGCGGTTAACATAGGTGACCTATTGCAGATCATGAGCAATGATCGATACAAGAGTATCGAGCATTGTGTAGCAGTTGATTTACGCAGGGCTCGAATATCTGTAACGCTATTTGTGAATGCTAGCCTTGACAGTGTCATTGGTCCATTTCCACAAATGCTAAAAGATGGAGAAAAACCAGTGTACAAACATGTCTTGCATTCTAATTATTGGGATTATTTCTACCGTAAAAGGCCTTCTGGAAAAGCATCACTAGATTTTTTTAAAATTTGATGTTTTAATTTACAAATTTCTTCTTATGTGAATGTTATTTTATTTTCAAATTTGTTATCATGTAATGACGAAAAATCTCTCTTTACATAACCAGTGAGACTCACTATAATTGTGTCGTTATCTTGTTTTGTTCTAATGATTTACTAATCTTATTTTATCCTTTATCCTACTTTTCGTTTATAATAACTTTACCCCATATTTTTTTCTTTATAATATTGTAAGTTTATTCTTCTAATCATTGATGTATAACACTGTGATAATTTTAAATTTGAACTCTATAATTTGAAAATGGGTTTTCTTTAAAGCGGATACCGAATATATAATAAGAAAGAACATGTACTCACGATGAGTAGTAATTATCTCCGCCATCAATTATATATCTCGAGTTTAGAAATGTCTTTGAATTAAGTTTTAAATAGGCTACTGAATACAAAAAATGAAGGGAAAAAACACTTACTTATATTACGCTTATCATATTCGAAGATCGTGACCGGTAGCAACTATCTACATCTTTAACTATAGATTTCGAGTTTAGAATGAATTTACTTTTACTCCTAATAGTCGTATCAATTATAGGGTGACAAAACCCCTCAATCATCAAATAGGTTGTCTCTCAATGACGAAAAGTGGTTTCATATGTCGAGCTTTGATTATCAAATATGACGTAAATTCAACAAAAAATTCACCATAACGACAAAAACTCATTCAGGAAAACATGATTCTTTAAATCCATCCAAGTTTGGCCTGATCATTGCCCCATTTATTTACTGGCTCAACTCATTAAAAAAATGTGTTGATATGTTGTAGAATGTAGTTTCCGACCTTTTAACCAGTATAAATAAGTGTATAATTTAATATTTTTTACATTTGGCATGGTTGAAATTCAATTATTCACATTTTACACTATCTAACACGTTTGGAGAGAGGTTAATTAATGTATCGATTTTCTAGCAAACAGAGAACACAAATATGAAGAAGACTTAGAAATTTTTAGGGAAATGCACTCAAGCATATGTAGTTTTTTCTTCTAAAAGATTTAAGTAATACTGCTTTTATGACTTTTTACTAAAAAAATAAAAAAATAATACACATTTGATATATGTCCCCTTCAAATATTCTCAATTGTCATAATAATTTATAGCTATAAAATTATACTATTAAAAGTAGAATAAAATATTAAATACTAGTAGCACTATTTTACTGATATTTTTTTATGTATATAATAGAGTACAAGCATTTATGGTATTACATTGACTTTCCTTCAATAGAAAAATAAACTTCAAACAACTTAAGAAATTTCGGGCAAAACCCTAACACCCCTCCCCCGTCAAACCCACCATAAAAACCTCAAATCTCCTTCTTCCATCATTTCATAGACAGCCCTTTTTCCCTCCCTCCCCCACACACACCCCTCTCAACCCACCATAGAAAAACCCCAAATTTCCTTGTTCCATTAGTACACACTCATCAAGATTCAACACACAAATGACTTCATCAAAATTTGAAATAAATGATGACATACTTGATTTTTTAATCAAGAAAGCAAATGGAATAAAAGGCCTAGTAGATAGAAGCCTTGAAATTATCCCAAATCAATGTATTCAACCAAAAGAACACAGACTAAACAAATCCCAAATTGACAATCAAGAATCAATCCCAACAATTGATTTATCGACTTTTTATGATTTGAATGTTGAAAAGTCAATTCAAGAAGCAGCAGCCAAGTGGGGTTGCTTCCAAATCATCAATCATGGGATCCCAATTGGAGTTCTTGAAGATTTGAAAGATGCAGCACACAAGTTCTTTGAATTGCCAGCTGAAGAAAAGGTTAAGTATTGTAAAGACAATTATAGTGCAGGTGAATCTGTCTTGATTTTTTGGAGTGCTATTGGAGAGAAAAATGAAAAAGTTTTGGATTGGAGGGATAGTATAAAACATGGTTGTAATCCACAAAACGATAGCAATCTTTGGCCTCCTCAAACAAGGTAAGTTTTTGGGTTTTCAGTTTTGTGTGATTTATAGGTCACGTGTTTTTGAGCAAGTAAGAAGCATACCTCTAGTATTACTTTTTTCATGAGTTTCATATCTTTAACCGTAAGGTGTTTGTATTTTCTATCTAAACTGTAGTTAGCTTTTTATAAAAACAAAGATCGAAACGTACAAGACCAAGTGTCTCAATAAAATCACAAAAGGTTGTGTCACAAGTTAATTAGGCTTAAAATTTCGTGCAAATGGCAACTGACACATTAATTTTGAGATGTGATTTGATAGTTAATTGATGACAGTCAGATTGAAGACTTGTAAAAATATGTTACATCAAGCGTGTTTTTCACCATTATCTCTAAATTTTATAAGGGTGTATATAACTAAAGGAGATAATTGGATCAGCGTAAATCCAATCAAACGCCTTAGCGGTTAACATAGGTGACATGTTGCAGATCATGAGCAATGATCGATACAAGAGTATTGAGCATTGTGTAGCAGTTGATTTAGGCAAGGCTCGAATATCTGTACCGCTATTCGTGAATTCTAGCCTTGACAGTTTCATTGGTCCATTTCCACAAATGCTAAAAGATGGAGAAAAACCAGTGTACAAACATGTCTTGCATTCTGATTATTGGGATTATTTCTATCGTAAAAGGCCCTCTGGAAAAGAATCACTAGATTTTTTTAAAATTTGATGTTTTAATTCACAAATTTCTTCTTATGTGAATGTTATTTTATTTTTAAATTTGTTATCATGTAATGACAAAGAATCTCTCTTTACATAACCAGTGAGACTCACTATAATTGTGTCGTTATCTTGTTTTGTTCTAATGATTTACTAATCTTATTTTATCCTTTATCCTACTTTTCGTTTATAATAACTTTACCCCATATTTTTTTCTTTATAATATTGTAAGTTTATTCTTCTAATCATTGATGTATAACACTGTGATAATTTTAAATTTGAACTCTATAATTTGAAAATGGGTTTTCTTTAAAGCGGATACCGAATATATAATAAGAAAGAACATGTACTCACGATGAGTAGTAATTATCTCCGCCATCAATTATATATCTCGAGCTTAGAAATGTCTTTGAATTCGGTTTTAAATAGGCTACTGAATACAAAAAATGAATGGAAAAAACACTTACTTATATTACGCTTATCATATTCGAAGATCGTGACCGGTAGCAACTATCTACATCATTAACTATAGATTTCGAGTTTAGAATGAATTTACTTTCACTCCTAATAGTCGTATCAAATATAGGGTGACAAAATCCCTTAATCATCAAATAGTTTGTCTATCAATGATGAAAAGTTGTTTCATATGTCGGGTTTTGATTATCAAATACGACGTAAATTCTACAAAAAATTCACCATAACGACAAAAACTCATTCATGAAAACATGATTCTTTAAATCCATCCAAGTTTGGCCTGATCATTGCCCCATTTATTTACTGGCTCAACTCATTAAAAAACTGTGTTGATATGTTGTAGAATGTAGTTTCTGACCTTTTAACCAGTATAAATAAGTGTATAATTTCACATTTGTTGAATTTTGAGCATTTGGCATGGTTGAAATCCAATTATTCACATTTTACACTATCTGCACTATCTAATACGTTTGGAGAGAGGTTAATTAATTTATCGATTTTCTAGAAAACAAAGAACACAAATATGAAGAAGATTTGGAAATTTTTATGGAAATGCACTGAAGCATATGTAGTTTTTTCTTCTAAAATATTTAAGTAATACTGCTTTTATGACTTTTTAAGGCTTTTCCCTATTTACTAAAAAAATAATACACATTTGATATATGTCCCCTTCAAATATTCTCAATTGTCATAATAATTTATAGCTATAAAATTATACTATTAAAAGTAGAATAAAATATTAAATACTAGTAGCACTATTTTACTGATATTTTTTTATGGATATAAGAGAGTACAAGCATTTATGGTATTACATTGACTTTCCTTCAATAGAAAAATAAACTTCAAACAATTTAAGAAAATTCGGGCAAAACCCCAACACCCCTCCCCCCTCAAACCCACCATAAAAACCTCAAATCTCTTTCTTCCATCATTTCATAGACAGCCCTTTTTCCCTCCCTCCCCCACACACACCTCTCTCAACCCACCATATAAAAACCCCAAATTTCCTTGTTCCATTAGTACACACTCATCAAGATTCAACACACAAATGACTTCATCAAAATTTGAAATAAATGATGACATACTTGATTTTGTAATCAAGAAAGCAAATGGAATAAAAGGTCTAGTAGAAGGAAGCCTTGAAATTATCCCAAATCAATGTATTCAACCAAAAAGAACACAGACTAGACAAATCTCAAATTGACAATCAAGAATCAATCCCAACAATTGATTTATCAAATTTTTATGATTTGAATGTTGAAAAGTCAATTCAAGAAGCAGCAGCCAAGTGGGGTTGCTTCCAAATCATCAATCATGCGATCCCAATTGAAGTTCTTGAAGATTTGAAAGATGCAGCACACAAGTTCTTTGAATTGACAGCTGAAGTAAAGGTTAAGTATTGTAAAGACAATTATAGTGCTGGTGAATCTGTATTGATGTTTTGGAGTGCTATTGGAGAAAAAATGAAAAAGTTTTGGAGTGGAGGGATAGTATAAAACATGGTTGTAATCCACAAAACGATAGCAATCTTTGGCCTCCTCAAACAAGGTAAGTTTTGGGTTTTCAGTTCTGTGTGATTTATAGGTCACGTGTTTTTGAGCAAGTAAGAAGCATACCTCTAGTATTACTTTTTTCATGAGTTTCATATCTTTAACCGTGAGGTGTTAGATTTTCTATCTAAACTGTAGTTATCTTTTTATCAAAACAAACCTCGAAACGTACAAGACCAAGTGTCTCAATAAAATCACAAAAGGTTGTGTCACAAGTTAATTAGGCTTAAAATTTCGTAAAAATGGCGACTGACTCATTCATTTTGAGATGTGATTTGATAGTTAAGTGATGACAGTCAGATTGGAGACTTTCAAAAATATGATACTTCAGGCGTGTTTTTCACTATTATCTATAAATTTTATCAAGGTGTATATAACTCAAATTAGAATTATATTGCATGCGTAGGAATTTTTTCTATCCGTTTTCCAATAATATATCTAGTACAATTGCACAAGTAGGATATGGAGAGGATAGGTTATACGTTGATCTTATTTCTACCTTTGTGGGGTTAAAACGTTGTCTCTGATGGACTATGGAAATACTCTTAGCGAAATTCTTTACTTTGACATTAAATTACCTTGCCATTAAATTATGTACGCTCTTAACTAAATTCCCGACTTTGTCACTGATTTATAGGTACCAAGTCTTGGAGTACCAAAAGTGGGTCAAACCACTTGCTAAAAATTTGTTAGAGGTTTTATTGAAGGGTCTCAATGTCAATGAAATTGATGAATCTTTAGAACCTCTCTTGATGGGAACTATGAATATCAACATGAACTATTATCCACCATGCCCAAATCCAAATATCACCATGGGGGCTCGCCGACACCGCGACGGGTCCTGCATCACTTTGCTCTTCCAAGACGACACGGGAGGCCTATATGTCCGAGGGAATAAAGGAGATAATTGGATCCATGTAAATCCAATCAAAGGCGCCTTAGCGGTTAACATAGGTGACCTATTGCAGATCATGAGCAATGATCGATACAAGAGTAT